ACACACACACACACACACACAGAATGGCAGTTAGCCGACTGGGTAAAACAGTTTCACAGAATTAAGTGAAGTGCAGCAGTTGGTGTTGGTTTTCTGTTTGTGTTCTCCTGCTTCATTTCTTCTTCTCTTGATCTGAATCTTTTCAAGCTGAAACGAACCGGACTCAAATGAAATCAATGTTTTTTAACACATGCAGATTGCGGTTAGGTTAATAAGAGACTGTGAGTGTGAATCGTTTATATAAATGCTTTCAGACATGCAATGAACTGAGGAATATCTGCAGACTGTCTCCACCTGGCCCTCTGATATACATTCTGCAGGAAGTCCGGAGGATCCAATGTGAGAACACAGCGGGGGATCCCATGTTGGATTCACTGCGAGTGAGTGGGGGGGGGGTTGATGGTGCTTCTAACACGAGCTCCAGCTCCCCCACAACCCTCAAAAGATAAGTGGTATAGATAGTTTCTCAACGTCAGGTGTTTGTCACCTGACATTGGAGGCTTCCCAGGATTAAGTTGAGGAATTTGAAATGTGACAAGTTAAACTCTCTGAACGCTCACCAGCATTTTGGGGAGAAGGAATGGTTCAGTCCACCAGGACCAGGCTCTTTCTTACTGAGCAGGAACTCCTGGAGCTTCAGCTTCACTTCCGTGCTGGCGATGGCACCTTCCAGAAACACACACATACAAACACCAAGCTTTCAGTCACAGCGCCAACATGTGGATGGCCTGGTAGTGACATCAGCAGCAACCTACTCTCTTTTCCTTTCTCCTTGTGCCTCAGCAGCAGCAGTTGCTGCTCCAGTCTCTGTTTCTCCTGTTCTTCGTGTCGTTGCTGCTCCAGTTTTCTCTTCTGCTCCAGCTCCTGCTGCCGCTTCGCTGCCAGCAGCTCCTGCTGTTGCTAATATACACACAAACACACACACACACACCTCGCTGAATGACTCTCGGTTGTTTGATTGCTGTGTGGCCGATTTGCTTATACTGTACGTTCTGAGAGGAACAAAATGACTCCCTGACTGTTTCTATATTTACCTTCAGGTGTTCCTGCAGCTGGACTTCGTGTTGTCTCGTTAGCACTTCGTGTTTTTTTTGGAACTCTGCAAACAGCAGCTGTTTCTGGAGCTCCTGCTGCTGTTTGAGTATCACCAGTTCCTGCTGGAGCTGCTGCTCTCTCAGGGTCGTGTCCACCGCCGCTGAACCCCCAGACAGAGACCCCACCCTGGGCTCTGTCCGCAGGTCCATCGGGCTTCCTCCTCCTCCTGGGCCTTCCCCTGGACCCTCACCTGAAAAAAGCAGCAAATTACCAAGTGGTCCAGGTTTTTACATTTGTTTGAAGGACTGCATCTTCAGATTTCTTTTTCTAACCACGTCCTTTTGTTTTCCTCTGCACTGTGTTTAATTGTCTAACTAACCTGCTTGATTGAATCTGACAGAAAGTTCCCATTGAAAACAGCCACGTCTGACTCTACTGCACCACTACGGCCCAGTCGATGGACTGTGTCCTCTGAATGATCTTTAAAGAATTCCTTTAAGTGAAATGACGTAAAGCCGCTGAATGATCATCAGGATCCCTTGAAATCTCCTCACTATGTCACTGATCCACTTTTAGAAATCCTGGAACCCCCCCCCCACCTCAAGGACTCTTAAAGGACTCACCACCCTCTCCACCTCCTCCTCTGAGCTCGTTGGCTGTTCCCACCGGGCTCTGCATGCCCGACGGGAGGCTGCTCTTCACCTCCACTACTGCAGGACAGACAGAAAAGAACAGGAAAAATGGGATTGATGAGTCTGGAAAATATTGTCAGGGACAGCGCAGAATATTACATCACACACACACACAGGCAATTGTATTCAGATGAGTTGTGTAAGTGCCGTTGAAAGAAAGTGAGGAACACAGCATCCCTAGCCCACATCCAACAACAGAACACTGCAGGTATTTAGTAAATTGCTGTATATACACCATGAAATGCTAAAGCTTAATATGTCAGTCTGTGACAGATTCATTGCTCTGCACTGGTTTGGATTTGCAGCCACTTGGACTAATCAGTACGACAAATGAATATTGATTTCCCGCTTCAGGGAACAGAGCGGCATGGGCTGACGTCTCACCAGGTGAAATTAAAGCTGTGTGAAGTCATCGAGCAGAGATTCATCATCTTTTCAAGCCTGGCAGAAATAAAACCGACGTGGTCACGGATTGGTTTAATGGCGCCTCATATTGTCACTGAACGAACAAACTACATCCCTGTGCAAAAAGCCAGTTTACCTCTGATCCCTGCAACACGTGTGACTTCTAGTTCAGGCTTCCTGCATGAACACGGTTTTAAGATAAAGTTTGAATGTTGCAGCTCCACCTGAGCAGCATCAGACACGGACTCCGGAGAAAGCTGACGGATGACATTGCCTTGCACACATGAAGAACGCAGCAGGAGATTAGCTTCCTGTCGTCCATCTTTATTTATAGTTTCCACTACATACATTTTGTCATCACCGCCACCTGTAAATGTGCCTTTGAGCAGGGCAGTGACCCTGACCTGGCATAAGCTCTCCTGCTCATGGGTGATTACACTTCTGAATCAGGCTACTTCCTGGATGAAACCACACTCTGCATCATGTTGGGACGTCAGACTATTTCCTGTCTGCTGGCCAGGGAGGAAATCCAATTAGGAAGTATCTACTGTGTCGTCTGCACTCCAACCTTTCTATAGGAAGGTGTTCTGATTGGTCACCTCCCAATCTTTGACACGCCCCCTTTCTGCTCCTGCCTCCCACGTGGGCTCGACTCTAAACCCACAATCAGGCTAAGATCATTAGCCCTGTCCTGGAGGATGATGATCAGTTAGATGAGGACGGATTTCATTTATCTCTACCTGCACTGAGTAGAGGGGTCACAAAGTCAGATTCTAATCCAGACTAAATCAAGAAACAGAAAACTTTGAGAGAGCCAGAGATAAATAAGTGTGTGTGTGTCTGTGTGTGTGCACCCCCCTCACAGTTTACCTATAAACAAATATTCTGGCATTTCACTGTGACGCACGTGTCTCCCCTTCTACTGCGACACACACACAGTGTGTGTGTGTGTGTGTGTGAGAGACTGGTCTGTGAGTGTGTGTACAACAGTCTGTTTGGCAAGAGAGCAGCATTCCACAGCAGCCAGGGTCTGACGTCAAACTGAAGACATTTATAGTCTGGTAAACACACACACACACACACACACACA